CGGGCGGCGGAGCGCGGGTCTGGCTGCGGGAAGCCCGGCCCTCGCCCCTAGGCTTTTTGCTCACCTTCTGCACTCCCCCGCCGGGGAATTTTGCCCTTTCTCCCCGGTTGTGGCCTCACGGTGACCCGGCCGCCGTCTGCTCCCGGGTGGCGCGCACCTCCTTGCTCCTGTTTTTCCCGGCTTTCTCAGACCTCTCAGCTCAAATCTCCCTTTCTTCCTCCGTCCCGCACTCCGGTTCGTCGCCTCCCAAACGTCTGCAGCCGCCCTTCCCCTGCCGCGGCCCGGGCGGAAGGTCCCCTACCTGCCCGGGACGGTCCCGGGGAAAAACTGCCGCCAGAGCCTCGTTTCTCCTCGGCTTTGAGCGTCCCCAGCAAAATCCGGTCGTCAGCCAGCCTAACCGCGCGCCGTCAGCAGCTAGAGCAGGCTATGTGGGCATGTAACCAGCCGTGGTTCGTTACAGTTTATGACTTGGCCAAATGAGGTTACGCGTTCACTTCTCGGGCGGGAGCTGCGCTCCCAACGCGTTGTGTCCCTGCCAAACGCGTTCCTGCTGCAGAGCAGGCGGTGCAAGCGCTTCTTTGAGTTAGTGGAACTACTAATGTCAACACAGCAAGATATTTTTTCATAGCCTTATCTACCTATCAGAAGGCTTTATCTTTTTTTTTTTTTTTGGCTGAAATTTGGCAAAATATTTAGCCTAAAGCAAAGCAGAGCCTGAGAAATAGGATCCTCATTTATTAAAAGTGCAAAGTTCTAAGCAGCCCCAATCAAGAGAAGTATAGGGCAGCTTTACACATAGGGAGCTACTGGCTCCACTTATGCATTTACAGAAAGCACGTTGTTCAGTAGCAGTGAATAATTCAATATAATCCTCTTTAGCAGTGAGTAACTGTCAAGTTGGTTTAAAAAATGTATTTTTATTTATAAATTCATGAAATGTTCTATAACATTTGCAAGATCCAAAAATGTTTGCAAACACTGTGCCTAAACTGGAAGTTTATTTTCTTTCCTAGGGCTGTTTTTATTTTTTTGGTGTATGCATCAATCTAGATTACAATTCATATAAATACGCCTTCCACCTGAGGTCACATTACAAAAAGTTATTTTCTTATCACTGAACTCAAGAAAAATAACTAAGGAAATCTGTAGTTAAAACAAAGATATAATCTTAGGTCACCTTCCTTTTACATCTTCCTTTATAAATTAATGTATAGGTTCCCTCGTGCTATCACCAATTTTCGATTTAGGTATCCAGTGACTTTGCTCAAGTCAATCTGGAGGTACAACAGTGAAAGAGGAGACTTGGTTCCCTGACACCTCGGCTCCACAGCTGACCCGGGGAATTCCAGTTTTTGGCTTCACAGCACGCATCTCGTTCCTAACAGTCACAGAGACACACATCCTCAACTAAGTTAACCTCTGTACCCTCTGTACCATATTATCTGAATTACTTGAAAAACGTGAAACTCCGGATAGATGTTGCAGGTGAGTTTGGGTGATGCAGAGAAGGTTGAGAAGGCATCTGGTATGGGCAGTGCTGAAAGACAACTGCTTATTTTGTCCTTACAGATTGAGTTGGTGGATTAGGCAGCTTAGTGGTTCTGATCATAACAACAAATAATAATTTCAAGAAAATCTGTATATACTAACATATCACAAAAAAGAAGAAGAAGAAGAAGAAGAAAAAATGTGGATTTCCCAGCTAAGCGGCCTATTTTACAGATGGGTGGGTTATGTGTTTCTATCAAAAAACTATCAAAACCTACTTTTTGAGTGAGTAAAAAGGAATTTGCAGACCTGTATTAGTCCATTTGAATAGAAATGCCTGAAGTTGTAAGGATATTGTCTTATTGTCAGAGAATAAGTTGTAATTAGGTTCTCGAGATACAGCCGGGGCTGGCTCTCTAGGAGACAACGCTGACTTTGCTCCCTGCTGACACACGAGGCCCAGAACACGCCAGG